GGGGGGGGGGAGGAGGGGACAAGTCAGCAAGCACCTCCAGCATATCCAGATTGGAGCTGGAAGGGACCAGTGACTCTTGACCCTCATTCTCATCTCCCTGGGGGCTGCCTAGGCCTGGGTGTGTGGGGTACAGTCCCTCCCTACGAGGTTTCCTCATCCTAAGGGGGGATCTGGGGTTCCATATTGTTGTCCAAGGAGTCTTACTTCTACTAGCCCCTCTATCTGGGGCTGGCTCAGCATCACCATCAATTTTGGGAGGGGGAATAGAGGACAGCTGGAATCACAGGACACTCAACCAGGGGCTCAGACTGACCTCAGCCTTGTGTGGAGCCCTCAGTTCTAGGGTCTCCTAGCAGGAGGCCAGGGGTCTTGAGCAATCTCTGTCCCCCTCCTCCATGTCAGATCTTAGCACTTTGAGTCCCTGTCCCAGGTTTGGGTTGTAGCTAATGTCCCATGGACTCCCAGCTAAGCTGAGGGCCACATAGACCCTACCCCCCCCCCCAAACAAAAAGCCTTGGAATTATGAAGTTTGGGGAAGGTAGTGAGCTGCTGCACCTGGGGACCCCCTCAGGCAAGGGCAACTGAACCCTGTGTTTGTCCTTTCTAATCGTCTGACTCTGTCTCTCTGTCTGTCTCTGTCTCAGACATGGGAGGACTGGAAGAGGGGCCAGGGAGAGGGCAGGGAGTGGACCCTCAGGATAACAGTACTGCAGGGATCTGGAAGAGGGACTTGACCTCCATCATGGTTCTAGCCCACCCCACCCAGATTTTCCACCACCTCACCACTATTGCTCCCTTTGAGGGTCTCCAACTTCCCGGGTCAGGGGACTCCAATGCACTGCTAGAAGCCCAGAAACCAGGATATGGCGACTGGTGAGGCCTTCGTCCGAGGCCAGAGCAACATCCGCATTTTGCAAATGAAAAAACCCAAGGAGAGACCTGAGAAATGACTTGCCCAAGGCCACAGAAGTCGCTGGGACAGAGTCGGACCAGAAACTGGGTTTCCACCTGCGAAAGGCTCCTGTTTTGGGTGACAGCCCCCTGTCCCACCCGGTGGAGGCTGCTCTGTGGCCCGCGTTGCCCCGAACGGGCCCGGCAGCCCAGGAGTTTCGGGCCAGGGCAGGACGAGGCAAAGCGGGTGGGGCCGGATGGGAGCCGGATCTCGCCTGGGAGCGGCGCACGGCCTCTGCGACCGTATGGCGGCGGCGGCGGCAGGTGCCTGCGTGGCGGTCGGGCTGGCCCCCGGGCGGTGCTGAGAGGCCGCCCCTGCCTCACGCGAGCCGAACGAACAAAACGCTCAGGTCCGGTTTGTGCGAGGGGCTCGTCGCGGGGCGGGAGCGGAGGGCCCGGGGCCTGGCTGTAGCCCTCGGCGATCTCCT